AGGCTTTCATTGCTTGCTCGGGGGCAAGGCTTTGAGGTGCTTGCTCGAGGGCAAGGCTTTGAGGTGCTTGCGCTGGGCAAGGTTTGGAGGTGCTTGCTCGAGGGTAAGGCTTTGAGGTGCTTGCGCTTGGCAAGGTTAGGCTTTCATTGCTTGCTCGGGGGCAAGGCTTTGAGGTGCTTGCTCATGGCAAGGCTTTCATTGCTTGCTCGGGGGCAAGGCTTTGAGATGCTTGCTCGAGGGCAAGGCTTTGAGGTGCTTGCGCTGGGCAAGGTTTTTAACTCTGATAATATGATGCTGGGCTAAAAATCTCGATGTTTTTATTCAAACAAATTTTTGTTGGTCAAACCGGAAAATAAAGTGAGAATGGGGCTTGCAAACCCGATCATCTGAAAAAAACTTAGCACAGGGCGTGAAAGCCCGATCTTAAAAATGAACTTAGCACAGGGCATGCAAGCCTGATTTCATAAGTAAAATAAACTACTTGTAGTAAACCTTCAAATTATTAGCGTTCCAGGGCCTGGGTAGTTGTCTTCCCGAAGTGTCCCTCAAACTGTATGCTCCTTTGCGAACTTCTCTTATAATCTCGAACGGTCCTTCCCAAATTGTTCCTAGTTTACTAGGGGCATGACCCGCGGCTTCGACCCTTCTCAAGACGAGGTCTCCCATTCTGAATTTCCTAGTTTTCACCTTGCGATTGAAGTGTTTTGCTGTTCTGCTCTGATAAGATGCCATTTTGATGGATGCTTGTTCTCTTACCTCTTCCAGGATGTCGAGGTGCTCTGTCGAATTATCCTCGGCCCCTAGCTCAAGTATTCTATGGCTTGGCAACTTGGTCTCGATCGGGAGCGTAGCTTCAACCCCAAATGCCAACATGAAAGGAGTTTCCCCAGTCGCTGTCTTGTGAGATGTCCTATACGTCCAAAGTATATATGGTAGCTCGTCCGACCAAGCTCCTCCTGCATCGCTGAGCCTTGTTTTGAGGTCATGCAGGATAATCCGATTCGTGACCTCAGCCAGGCCATTGCTCTGAGGATGTGCTACTGACGTGAGACGTTGGTCAATCCCTAAGTTGGTGCAAAAATTCCGGAACTGCTGGTCATCAAATTGTCTCCCGTTGTCAGATATGCGGACCTTGGGTATTCCGAACCTGCAGATGATGGACTTACATACAAATGATCTCAACTTGGGATCTGAAATCCT